GCTAGCAGCCGCCCGCTCGTGCGCGCCCCTGCCGCCCACTCATCCCGCGTCGTCCTGCCGCGCCACACCCAGACGCCTCATGCTCGACCGCCTCGCTCGTGACAAACCCCATAAAGTCCACGGCCCAACGCCCATTTGCTGGCGGCCGCTGCGTCCGTGCTAGGTCCAATGAAGCCGGCCCCTCCCTCGCCCCCTTTGGTGGCGTCTGCCGCACCTGGTTATCCAGCAGCCACCCCATGTGGCTCCACCAGAAGCCCTCGTAGGGAGAGTGAGGGTCCAGGGCCGTCTCGGTGTTCAGGTGGTGGTACCTGCCGTGTGTTATCGAGCGTGTGTGTGTGTATTGTGTGTGTGTTGTGTGTGCGTGTGTGTGTGTGTGTGTGTTGTGTGTGTGTGTGTGTTGTGTGTGTGTGTGTGTTGTGTGTGTGTGGGTGTGTGCGCGCGCGCGTGTGTGCTTATGTGTGTTCAAGAAACGGGTAGCAGTACACACGCAGGGGCCAGAACTAGGGGGGTCGGTGGTGCACCTGGACGCACGGGCAAGGGCCTGTGTGCCAGGGGCTGCAGATGCGCACGCGTGTGGCTGATAGGCGCCATTGCTAAGTCCCAGCTTGCACTGTGCCGCGGCGCGCCTTCGCTGAAGCCAGCCCCAGCTTGCGTGGGCGCCCCCTCCTACGCCAGCAGCCGTCCCCAGCAGCACGCATGGAACTACCACCCGCCTCCATCCCTCTGCTGCCCCTCCCAACACCATTCCTGACTCCATCCCTAAGCAGAGCAGAGGGCAACATCCGCACACACCCCACGCCAGCACACGCGAGGGCTGCCCTTGCGCCCCGAACGCCACAGCGGCACGCGCATGCGCACCTGTGAGACGAGACCCACTCGATGGGGTCCCCCTGCACCGCCAGCACCCCGCAGTACGCCAGCGCGTACTCCACCCACTTGGGCGACTGGAACGAGCGGTGGCTGAGCTGGCGGTGGAACGACAGCGTGATGCCCAGGCAGCCCGTGATAAAGTAGGTCACAAAAAACAGCCCCAGGTTCGCCATGCTGAAGGTGGCGGGCGCCAGCAGGCACAGGCCGTGCATGGCGACCATGAAACCGACGTATTGCCAGTCAACTGTGTTCCAGCTGCGGCCGAAGAACAGCGGGACCTTCTTGGTCGCAAAGACCGACGAGAAGGGGACCTTGGTGGCGCCCGCCTCCTTCGCCTGCTTCTCTGCATCAGGCTTGGGCAGCATCTGCTTGATGGGCAGCGGCTCGCCGCGCGCCTTGTACTCCGCCATCAGGCGGTCGTACTGCTCGCCATAGCTGATGTTGCTGAACACGGGCCCGGGAGCGGCCGTGGGCGCCGGCGCCTCAGCGGCGGCCCCCTGCTCGGCGGTCTCCACCTCAACGGCGGCAGCCCTGTGGTAGGGGAACGGGCGCGCGGGCGGGCCGGCAGGCGTGGCGCGCGGGCGGCGAGGCTCAGTTGTGGTCGGCGGCGGCGTCGGTTACAGAGCGGCGCCCAACGACGACGGATGAGCCAAGACAGGGTTTTGCAGAAATCGCAGCGTGCTCCAGCCTTAGTAACCTCGATCTTCCATCACTGCTGCAATGATGCATCCCTCCCAAGGCCCCTAGGCACTGCTGTGCGCATCGCGCGCGATGTCGCCGGCCGCCCCAGGCGCGCGCGATGCGTGCTGTCGCCGCCCGGCGTGCGTATGGGCCCTGATGCGGCGTGCCCGCCCAGATAAGGGCGTTTTAATCCGAAGTGACTCAAGATACGACGCAAGCCGCCCACCTGAGGGCCATCCTGCTGGTTCCCCTGAGCGTGGCCACCACTCGAGGCCGCGACAGCCCCACCAGCGCCCGGGGCTGTGCCCGCGTGGGGCATGCCATGCGGGCAGGGTGCATGAGAGCCATCGGACGTGCAAATACGGTGGCGTTCACTGAACTGGGTGTGTGGCCCCTCCTCTAGCACTGCAGCGGGCTGCCGGGAGGTCTGCTCAGGACGCAAACGAAGATTGCGAATTAACAAGAGTAATTGAGCCCTCCCTCGGACAAGGATGTGAGGTCTTCCGGCGCGTCTTTTGGAATGCCCAGGATCAAAATCCTGGCCTGGCGCGGGCTGTATGGGAGACGAGCAGGGAGCAGAAAATCTAAGCTCTTGCATGTTCCTAAAATGCACCGGAGGCACGTGCGCTACGCCTCGATGGTGCTGCAGTGCTGGCACACAGCGACACGCCTTGCTGCGCCGCCACGGAATCCACAGGCTGCTCTTGGCCCAACCACCGTCTAGGCGGCCGAGCCACACCCTATGCCTCGCGTCTGCTGCATGTATGCTGAAAGCTGCTTTTCAGCGCTGCTCATCCGCCGCTCGAACCTTGCGTCACTGTAACCCCCGCGCACGGTGACTGCCTTGGCGTCCAAGCAGCAGCCGTCATGCACCACATCAGGTGAGACCACCCAACCCCGCCAGCCACCCACTGTCCGCCGCTCAGGAGCGTGCAGGAGGCACAGATTTACCGGGATTTCGACTCTCCGGCCCCCTCCTCTGCCTCTCGCCGCTGCTCGGCTGCAGCCACAGGGGCCCCTCCCACAGCAGCCGCTGCGCCCCGGCGCTCCGCGTCGTCCTCCGCCTCCTGCCGCAGCCGCGCGGACTCGATCTCCGCCGCTTGCGGGTGCTGCGGGGTCAACCACTGCAGCAGCTCGGAGCTGTCCAGGCCCCCGCGGTCAATGTAGAAGATGCGGCCACGAGCCTTCGGGGGGCACGCGGGGGGGGGGGGGCGGGGTGCAGCGCGAGCAGGACAAACGAGCCAGTGCGTGTCAGCGGGACTTTTGGATTCCTGAGGATAGACTTGAACGTAAACCCAACTTTGATGCTGGTGATGGTCACTCGATTTCAGGATAAAGGGAGGTGTGCGCCAGCGGTGGCGTTCCTGAGGACAGCACTGACAGCTGCACCCATCGACGACCCATCCGTTCCGCAGGTGGCCGCAGGCCCCCTGCCCAGCAGCCGCGGCGCTCCTGGCCCCCTGCAAGTCCGGCAGGCGCGCGTGCTCACCTGAAACGTGGCCAGCGGCCGCAGGGTGTCGGGGTGCTGCACATCCCCCAGCCGGAACTCAGACCACCGCGGCCGCCCGAGCAGGGTGAGGGTCTTCGCACGCACCCGCGTCGACGCGTCCAACCCGCCGCCGCCGCCGCTGCCGCCGCCGCTGCTGCTAGCCGCTGCGCCGCTGACCCTCAGCTCGTGGACATATGGGGAGGTGAACCATTGCAGCCCCAGAGTGGTGCCGGCGCCAAAACCGACAACGCCGACAGCGACGAGGGCGCGGGCTATGGGGGACGCATCCGACAGGTACACGATGGCGGGGCAGGCGGCCAGCGAGACTGCGGTGTTGACAAGGGAAGCCAGCTGCAAGGCGAGTAAAATGAGGAGAGGTCATGTCCTGGGGTCGGGAGAGTGGGGCCATGCCGCGCTGGGCAGCTCTTGCAGCCGCTTCAACACCTGCAGAAGCAGGGTCTCTTGCGAAGGAGGGTTGACATAGACCCTGCTTCTGCAGGTGTCGAAGCAGCTGCAAGGCAAGGCCCGTGGGTCTGTGAAGGAGAGCTATGGCAGCTTTGGACCAAAGCACCTGCGCAATCGGGCAGCAGCGACCGCCACACACCTTCAGGCGGTGGTGGTTGACAGCGAAGAAGCCCTGCAGTTGGGGGCAGCGGCCACGGGCTTCGCGGCTCCAGAAGAAGGGGTCTTGGCTTCTGGTGCGCAGGTGCTGCAGCAATGCATGGCGGCCCCTGGCACCCCCGCTCGCAGCAAATCAACTCACAGAGTAGCAGGTTGTGAATTCGCCACCCGACTGCTGCTGCTGTTGCTGCTGTTGCTGCTGCTGCTGCTGCTGCTGCTGCTGCTGCTGCTGCTGCTGTTGCTGCTGCTGATGCTGCTGCTGCTGCTGCTCCTTTGTAATTTCCGGGTCGTGCTGCTGCGCACATGCCTCCGCTTCAGAGTGTGACGCTCTCCAGTGCGCGCCGCACCAGGCGGCACCAGCTGGTGTGCATGCCCAGGACCGCTGCAACCCCAGGCCAAGCGAAACATGCCTGCTCAAGCATTTGCTGGGCGCGATTGAAAGCAATGCAAGCCCATCGCTTGCAGACGCGCCCACGAGAAGTGCGCCAGCTCTTTGCATTGAGCAGCTGGCAGGCACGAAACAGATCAGCGCTGCGAGTGTTTATATGATTCTATGATACTAGCCCACTGAGATACCAAGGCTTCATTACATGGTATTGTCGAAAGCATCCCCCGACTATAATAGCGAAAGCGCCCTGATCTGAGTAGTCCAGGCCAGTTCATGCAGCCTGGAACAGCTGGGTCTTTTATGCTGGGCCGGTGCCCGGTGACACATATGGCCCCCATCCTACCGACCGGTAAGGCGCGCCGACTCGATGCGCAATGCCGCGAACCACCCGTCGCTGTGCAGCGGCATGACATGCTCGCTGCCACTGCATCGTGATGCACAGGGCGGCGCTGCATCAGCCCGCCAGTGGCCTCAGCATGCTGTGTCTGGGGCCCTGGAATTGCTGCACAGTGCGGCGGCAGGCTCACGAGCAGCAGCAGCGGCAGGTGGACAAGCGGCTCGAGCTCGCGTCGACCTCGCGCGGCGGCGGCAACCAGCAACGCGGCTGGCGGTGGCTGCGGCGAGAAGCTTCCAGTGGTGGACCCCATCGTGCTGCCGCCGCCGCCAGAGGGCTCTCAGTATTCGCTGCGCGCTTCCTACTCAGGCGGCGGCAACGGTGGCAAGGGGCGAGGTGGGCCGGGAGCTGCCACAGGGCTATGGCTGCCGCCGCGCGAAGCCGTGCTATTCCCGCATACAAGGACATCATCAAACTACCCGCCCGCTCGTCCGACAGATTCCACCTTGGTTGAACAGCCCGGGCCTGCTGTTTGCGCATTCGTGCTCTTTGATCGCGTGTGTCGCCCACGCCGCGCGCGCCGACGCGCCGCGCCAAACGCAGGGGGCGGGGGCGGGGGCGAGCCGGACGACAGCAATGGGCGCGGCAGCCTGCTGTATGCGCTGCTGTTCCGGCTGCGGCTGCTGGCAATGTACGGCCTTTGGTGGGTGCAGACGAGTGTGCAAGGGCCGCCACGGCCGCCGGGGCGTCTTGCTGAGGACCGGTTGCCCTTGAGCCTCCACCTTGCGCGCTGCCAGCATGTCCATGTGGGCTCTCATTGCCGACCTCCATCACTTTTCTCCTGCCACCACTGGCAGCATGGGCTGGGTCTCCGAGCTCGCCTTTGCTTTGCACCATCCAATGCGCGCACGCCCTTTGCTGCGCCCTCACCCGCCCGCAGGGTGACGCTGCTGTTTGCGACCCTCAACCTGGCAGCTTCCCTGGTCACCAGCCTCGTCAGCAGCATAGCACGTGTCGGTCGCGCCGCGGGGTCGGCCGCCGTTGGCGTCGTGCGCGGCACCGGGGGCACGGCCGTTGCTGAAGGCGCAACAGCGGCGGCAGGGGGCGGGGCTGATGCGACGGCGGCAGCCGGTGCGGCGTCTGCGGCAGGCGCTGGCAGCGGCGGCGGCGGTGGCGGGGCGGAGGGGACCGAAGCTGAAGCCGCCAGCCAGGCACGCCAGCAGCGGCGGCGGCGCGCAAACGACCCAGCAAATAGCTTGCTGTTGACGGGGATATCCATTTATATCGCTCTCATGAGCAGTGTATTTTTTTTTGCTAGGTCATGAACCGCTGCCCCCTCCAAACAACCTTTTGGTTGAGAGACATGGCGGCCTGCAGGTGCTGAGCAGCAATACTTTAGCAGAGGAGAGTCTAGTGTACTTGAGTTCTGCATCGGCACGCGCCCGCGTGCGTGTGCGCGCGCGCGTGTGTGTGCGTGTGTGTTTGTGTGTGTGTACGTACGCACACACGTGCGAGGGAGGCGTGCGATGCCCGCTCCGATTTTGATGTATGTTGGCTGCAGGAGCGGCGAAAGGGCCGTTGATCAAGATGGCGGCGTCGCGCCAGAGGCTTGAGTGGATGCCCAGCGTTGCTTTTGCAGTCCTCACACGCAGCGCGGCTGCTGAGGTACAGGGTGGCTTCGTAAATATGCTTACCTGTAGCAACACAATCCTGTTTTACTGTTGTGGGATGCTTGATGTTCTGTGAGCGCGTTGTTCAAGCTTACATTGGTTTGCACGGCTGGCGTTGGCATGACGCTATGTAAAGGCAAGTGCATGCCGGTGTCATTCGCGACCTCGTGTGCCTGCGCCGCAATCGCAGCAGGCATGGGCCATGCGTGTCTCGAAGAGCATTTGGGATGTGTAAGCGCGCATCTGCAGCGCCTGCGCGAGGGCACATGGTGCAGCTCGTTGCATTGGGGCAGCCGCCCTGGTGCGGCATGGCGGGGCCGCCGGGCGCAGTCCGCTGCGCGGGGGTGATTTAGAGTAAGACGGTGGCCTGCCTGGTGCCAGCAATGTTGAGAAAGGGGCCTTCCGTCTAGAAATTGCCCGCACATGCGACAGCCCGTTGCAGTCAAAGACGGGCAAGCAAGGCGTGGCAATGTTGCCTGAGCTGCTGTACTCATGGCGCGGAATTCAGCGAGTAAATTCCAGTGCGCAGCAAGAAAAAAGAGTTCATGTACAGAAAGTGTGTGGCCATCAATAATAACGGGACCCCGCAGGGCCTGCAGGGTGGTCAGGCAGGCCCCAGACATTCTGTACCGCCGCACGGCACTGCGTCGGCAGCAGAAGCTCCAGGGACGCAGCTCGGCGTGCCCCGATGGAAACCGGGGCAATAAACACCATCGAGACGCCCATGCTAGTACATCACATACACTTTGACAACCCGTGCCAATTGAGGAAGCCATCAATGGGGTCAACTAAAAGAAATCTATGGCGCTGGCGTTGCCGCGCATCTGGACACGGCAGGTCCGCCACTGGCGCGCATCCCGAGTATATTGCCTGCCATCAAATTGCCGCCTGGCCCTTGCTTGCCCTCTGCTGGGTGTGCCATCTACGCCAGGTGCGCATAAGGCTAGGACATATCAGTTCAGAGTAATAGCGCCCGCCGCGCGGTCCATTAGGCTGCTGGCCGCGCTGAGCAGCCGCTGCATCCTGGACGCCTTGGCGGTTCGCGCGTGCTCGCAGTACGCCGGCGCCATCAGCCGCAGCTGGCAGCTGCTGGGAAGGTGGTCAGTCAGCTCCTGCGAGGGTGTGCGTGCGCAGGGTTTCTGGGTCCTAAGGCGGATGCTGACGGGGAAGCAGGTCAGCAACTGCTTTTGTTGCCTCCGGCTGTCACACCGAGGACGGGCCATGCAGTTGGAGAGGCCGCCGACGGTGCGGGTTTGCGCTGCAAACAGGGTTGGGGCTGTTTGCAGGAGCAAACGGTACGATGCGGCCATCAACAATCATATCAATTGCCTCACCTGCATCCGTTCACAGGTCACCAGTGATGCAGGGAGTGTGAGCACGTGCAGCTGCCCCAGCCGCAGCAGCGCCTGCACGTCTTCCGGCCGCAGCCGCCCCTGGACAGTCCGCTCTGCAGGTACCCAGTCCAGGTGCCGCAGGCCCGCCAGCCCAGACAGCAGTCGGAGCGGCGCCAGCCCGAGCCAGGCGTCGTCTTTGGGGGCCACCAAGCTGAGGCGGCGCAGTCCGGGCAGCAGCGGGAGGAGCGCGACGTCCCGCGGCTGCAGTCCGAAGAGTTCGTGGAGCTGCAGCACCTGCAGCACCTGAGGAGATGTTGATTCAGGTGTGGCGTGGGGCGGCGGCAGGTTCGATGACGTCAGTTGGAGTCCCATGCGGGCCGTCCCGAATGATTGAGAGAATTGAAAGGACGGGGCGTAACACATGTGGGGTATGTGGAAACTAGTTGTTGAGCCAAATCACCAGGCCCGGCCGCCTCACCGCTGTGCATGGATCGATTCCCTTCGCGACCTGCTTTGCCGTGCTGATGCACATCGCGCCTCACCCCAGGGTTTGAGATGATGTCATCCAGTCCGACGCCATCCAGCTGGCAGTGCTTGAGCACCAGCTGCTGCAGCCGCGGCAGGTCGCTGCAGCGCCCAAATGCCGGCGGCGCCGCCGCGGGCGCCCGCTGATGGGCCTCCGGGTGTCGCAGAGCAGCTGCAGCGCTCGTCACCGTGCCGGCCCTGCCCAATCCCCCGCGGTGGCCGCCGCCGCTGCGGGTCCTGCGGCTGAAGCTGAGCTGGCGCGAGAGGGGCCCCGAGGGGAGCGACATCTGAGGCAGCAGGCCGCTAAACCAGCCGGACAGCTGGCTTGTGAACGGCTGCGGCTGTGGCTGCGGGGCTGGTTGAGGCGGAGCGGCGTGCGCACGCTCAGGCGCATCTGGGCTACCAGCGTTGGGACTGACCTCGCTTGCAACGGCCTGGGTCGCTGCAGCCGCAGCAGCCGCAAACGGGGACGCAGATATGGCGCGTTTGGCGCGCGGCTCCGCAGGCTGGACAGGCCCGGAAGAGCAAAGTGCAGCACCCGCGGGGACGCCAGCAACGCCGATCGACTGCTCGCTGCTGCAGCTGCCGCTACTGATGGCCAGCGTGACGGCGCCATGCGCTGCGCCTCTTTCGGGCCCCGCCAGAGGAGCGGGCGGGGCGGAGTTGGCTACTGCGGCTGCGGCCTGCTGGGCGCTCGACATGGCTTCCAAGAGTGCACCAGAGTGATTGGTCGCCCAGATCTGGGCGTACGGGTTGTATCTGCTGTGAGGCGCCTGCGCGCTGATGGACGGCGCCATGCCGCAGCCGCTTGCGTGGCCAGAGCCTGTGACAGCAAGCGGGGCGTGCGTGCTCGCTGCGCGGCATGCAGACGCTGCCGCTGCAGACGCTGCCCCCGCCGCAGCTGTAGCCGGGCCCGCCTCGGCGGCAGTATCCCCGGTGGCGGTTGGCACGCCAGCAAAGCTGACTCGCGGGCCGCCGCCGCCAGGCTTGCCTGCCCTGGCCGTAGGAGGCGCGCCCGCGCGTCTGGCCATCGCACTCCCGCCCACCACCGATGTCTGGCCCCTCAGCGGCGGCGGCCCGGCTACCGCCTCACACGCCGGCTGCTCGTGCATGCAGC